CGGTAAACGGATATATTTTGCTTTTCTCGTCCATTGCTCCACAACCACCTCCAGCACGAGTTCTACAACTAGGAACCGTTGCTCTTCTTCCTCCACCTCTAATACTTTCGATCGCGAAGCCATCCGTGCCATCCACAGGCCTGAGAAAACCAAGAAGAAGAAAAAATGACAATCTGATTTTGATTTTAATTTTGTAGAGGTGGAGGAACCGGAAGTATAAGAAGGGAGAAGAGAGAGAGAGAAAGAATAAGAAGAAGAAAAAATGACAATTTGATTTTGATTTTAATTTTGTAGAAGTTGTAGGTTTAGGGTTTTGAATCTGAAAAGGAAATGAAAAGAGAAACAAAAAAAACTGTGATTTTTGGGGAACTTGATTGAAAGTAGAAAAAGAGAAAACAAATTTTTATATGGGCATCACTAAAAAGAGAAATTGAGAAGATGACAATCGATATGTAAAAAAATGCAACGGTGACAATATTTTCTTTGTTGGATATACACGTCATTAAAATTTTAAAAAGCCAGTGATTTTGTGGCATCTTAACGTGCCACTTGTGCATTTAACTGACGGAAGGATGATTTTGGTATCGAAAATGAAAGTTTGAGGATAATTTTGGTACTTTTTAAAGCTGAAGGACAATTTTGGTATCAAAGTAAAAAGTTGAGGGACCAAAATGGTATTTAAACCGTAAAATAAAAAGAGAAATGTTAGTGGAGTAATTATTTTATTTTAATTTTTTATATAATTTGATTTGTCATTAAAATGATTAATTTTTTAATTCATATAAGAAACGTGATATTGAATATATCTACTTATTTAACAACATATGAAAATTATATAAAAAATAAACAAAAAATTTTTTCCTATAACACCACGCAAATAAAAATGAGTTGCAGTATTATTTTTCTATCCAAACGGTATCAAATTGTTACAAAATAAAAATTATAGGACAGAAGAAGATTGCTATTAATAATATTTTTTTATTGTAGATCCATTATTCCTTTTTTAATTTTTTAAATTAAAATTTTAAAAATAATATTTATATTTATTTATAGTATAATATTTTTTAAACGAAATAAAAGAAAAAAAATTGATGATTAATTTAAATAAATAAATAATGATAGAGTTAAAATATAAAAAATATATGACTTATCTTGATAAATAAAAACACTAATAATTAATTTAGTCAATTATCTAAATAACTTAACGACTATTTTTTTTCATTGAAAATAAGAGGTTTTAAATTCAAGCCACATGGCATACAAGTGAAGTGGAATAAGAAATAGAAGATGGTTGCATCCCATTGTGCAACCAAAATAAATAATAATAATAATTAATTTAAGATAAATTTAGAGTAAAAACCAATAAATATTCAAGAAAAAAAGAGAGTAGTTGATTTCATTGGCCATTACTTTTC